TGGTAACAGAGTATCCTCTTCCCTTTTCACATCTCGACCACCTCGCAATTTCATTAACACATATTCAATCCTTATTTTTCTATATGAACACACTTTAATTTTCTATAATTGTTTTTAGGTTTTGAACAAGGGAGAGATGGACACAACATATGCAAAATGCTTTGGTTGAGTCGCTTGACAGTGCATTGGGCTCAAAAAAAGAGATGATCAGTTTTTTCAGGTAACATCATCTTCTTAATTAAGTTAAATTCATATACAAAATCAAACATTGTATATTCCTTAAATTGACACAGCATATGGAAAATGCTTTGGATTTAGTTGCTTGACATTGACCAGGACTTGAAAATAGAGATAATTAACATCTTCAGGTAACATAATTTTATTGAGTTCAAAAGTATGTAATTCAGAAACAAAATTAAACATAGTAAATTTATTGAATGAGATTTTGATAAACCTTTGAATTCTGCATATATTAGTGAGCTAATGTATTGTTGTCCAAAAAGAAGTGAACTAATGTATTAAATTTTACCTTTTTTATATGTTTAAGGCACACTGCATTCTTCTATTTAATCTCAGAAGATTCAGACTTTGTGAGTCATAAAGAGAAGACGTCGGCCCTTCTGCGTACATAGTTTTGCACCAAGGCGTAGAGGGATCCACAAGACTAAACTTTTTTTTCTTGTTCTCATGTGTCCACATGTATCATGCAGTTTCACATTATCCATGTGTACACAAAATCATGTGTACACCTAAATCTTGCAAGAATCCGAGCTACAAAGTGGATAAAAAGTTAGAGTGAGTATCTCTGATGATACTATGTTTTAGTGTATGTTACTAAATTTCTCTTCAATTGGGTGTTTTCTCTTAAGAGACTATGTATATCTTTATGGATTGGATTAACATGACTTGATTTTGATTTTTGTAGGTAGGATGAATGGAAGAGAGCTGGACTACTGAGGAACTTGAGTTTAATGTTCCTGGTTTATCTCTTGATTGATTTATACCACCAGCTGATCTCAAGACCGGTTCTGTAACGGACTCATGCGAGTATGGACAAGAGGAAAGGGGGAGAAGTAACAACTCGGTGGCGTTATCTGCAGCTCACAGCGCCAAAGTTGCAGCCTTGGAGAACTGAAGTCTAAAGAGAGAGAGATTATGACTAAAACAACTCTTGATGTCTTATGTGTTTAAACAAATCTTATGTGTTTTAGTAATGTAATGGATATGGACACATAAATAACAATATAATTGGTGTACACAGATCAATAAAACTGGTGTACACATGGATGTCTTACAAAGTTGATTTACACAATACACATAAACATCAGAAAGGTGAACATTGATATACACATAGATATTATACAAATTTGATGTACAAAATACTCATGTACAACATGAACATCATACAAAATAGTGTACACATGTACATCATATAAAACTAAAGTCTCAGTCTGAGTCTTTGCAAGTTGTAGAGTGTACAAACGGTAAAATGTCTGACAGAAAATTGAGGCGAATGTCTTCCAAGTAAGGTGATTCAGGACCCTTAGCATCTGGTCATAGCTACCAATAGCAAGAAACTGACCACACGGAGATCAGGAAAAATGTTTTATATCTGATGATCAAAACTAAAAATAATTGTGGCGTACACACGATTTTGTGACCCAATGTACATCGAATTCAAGAGAAAAAAACTGTACATGTGGATACAAAGTGAAGCTTTTCGATCTACTGTACATGTAGGTTTTGAGAAAAATATGTACACGTGTACCCATCTACGCTACTCTATCCTAACGTGTACCCATCTACGCTACTCTATCCTAACCAACTTACTAAGATTCAATATCATTACCTCAGGGTAGTGCTCTGCCTCCAATACCACCTACTTTGCTAATCTCCAGATGAATAACTGCACCTCCGAGCCGGTAAATCGAATAATTTTCCGAAACAGGAACCGAGTATCCGATCCATCTGAGGTGTCCCTCGGAGAACATCCCTCACAATCACAAGGTATTTCCAGCGTCGAATACCAGAGGAACAAACAACAAAACAAATTATTAAAATATGGAGCCTTGCAAACGTCCTCCATCTTCTATATCCATTACCATGAACTCTCAGATAATACAAGGCCTTGCAAGTTCTGCACTGAACAAACCCAAAACCTTCATGCAAACGATTTACACAACAAAACCTCTCAACGTCTCAGTTTTTAAATCATTAGTCTAAACATAGTTCATATCAGTTATAACTAGTAGTAGAACACAAACATATCAAGAAAAGGAGACCTAAATCCTCAATCCAAATTCCGAAAAGCTTTTGTTTATGAAAATAACCCAATGAATACAATTACAGAAATGAGTAGACCTAAATCCACTTCTAAAACTACAATACTTCTAGGATTAACAAAGGAGACCTAAAACTATATGAAATCACACATATTCTAACATTAACATACAAAGGCACAAAAAAGTGTACATCTTTATTCACAATCATTCTTTCTCTCATATATGACCGAGGAGAGAAGTCTCTGTAACCGATTCCCGATGAGTTTCTTAAGAGAGGAAGGGAGGTTTGGTTTCAAGAGCTCAAATCACGGCGGCACATACCTAGATGGACAAGAAAGAGTTGTGGCAGAGAATGAAGAGATGCGGCGAAGCTTGAATCTGGGCGGCTTCTGTCCAGGTGATGACGGTGCAAAGAAATCTGACCAGGTGATCTTCGATAGACCACGAAGGCATAGGCACGGCAGTGTACCCGAGCTCTGGATTTGAAGGAGAAGAAACTAACGATGGAAGAAGAAGCCTTGATATTTTTTTCTGAATTTTATTTATCTCTGATAAAAAAGGAAAATAACGAGTTTTAAAATTTCATGGGACCCTTTAGTTACAAAATTTACAATAGTTAGATTTTTAGTTACCAAAAACTGCTTTAGTAGTAACATGTGACTTATAATGTCACACAAAGACAAAAAGTGACCTATAATGTAGATCTCTTTCTATTTATAAAAAAGAAAAGATTATTTGGAAAAGACTTTAAAGATATAAAATTATGGGCTAATGTTGTGCTGGGCCAAGCTTATTATATAACAACATTTAGGTGGACAAAATATTTGTTGCAAAATTAGCGTGACGAACAAAAAAATGGACGAGGTCGGTATTATCGACTAAGTTCGCCTTTGCGAAAGGTTAATGTTAGTAGCCCATCATATGTGTGGACAAGCATTTCGGCAGCACGTGAATTGTTGCTTTTGGGGATTAGACAGAAAATACACTCTGGTTATGAAGTCAAGGTATGGGATGACCCATGAATTCCCACAATCCCAGCAAGGCCAGCGCATGCATCTGCTCCGGTCCTGCATCCGAACATGAGAGTGAGTGATCTTATCAATCAAGAAACAAAGTCTTGGGATCTGGATCGGCTGGCAAATTATGTTGACGCTGCTGACATAACCCTCATAAGGGGTATGGCTATTAGTTCAACACATCGAAGAGACACATACTGCTGGAGTTACACAAGGAGTGGGCAGTACACAGTCAAGTCCGGCTATTAGGTAGCTCGAAATATATTAATGAAGGAGGAAGAGAATCTGGTAGATGAACCTAGTATCAAAAGACTCCAAGCACTTCAACATTCACCATGTCAGAGCTTTGGGATGAATTGCAAGGAATTGTTAGCAATGCTCAATAACCTCCATGGATGGCCAAACTTTTCGACGAAACTGGAGAGGATCTCGACGCTGAGGATTTGTTTTCCAGACTTCAAGATCACTTATGTACCTAGATCTCTAAATGCTGTGTCCGATCATTTAGCTAAGACTGTCCGATCCTTTTATATCGATCTCATGTATGTTGGTTGTTCTATTCCGATCTGGATTCACAGACCACCTCAAGCTTGAATAATAGATCAGCCTTTCGTTGTAAAAAAAAAAAAATGGACAAATTTTTTGTTTTGGTTACTTTGTCCCACCTCGTTAAAGTAGAAGCTGCAGTGTCTAAGATTTTACAGAAAGAATCTTAAAACATCTCTTTTGAAAAAAGTAAAATATAGACATTTCACCAAATTAAACACCTGTACAAAAACTATACACATGTGCACTCTTGGATCTGGAGACTTGGCTCAGCCTGCGAATTGGGCTAAATAAAACTATTTGTGCGCAAGTTTTTTTTTGTCAACTGTACAAGAGTTAAATAAAACTTAGTTTGCAATTATTATTTTTGTTTGTAGAAATATTAAGTAGCATACGAACCAGCATGTCATAACTTTTATGCAAAATATAATAAAAGTCGAAGAAGTCTCTGTTGTTGCTTTATATCAAAAAGGTGGTTATTTGTTCCTTTTTTTTGTGTTCTAAACTCTTTTAGATACAGAAGGTGGAGAAGTTGGACTTCTAGATGCAAAAAGATGGAAAGAAAACTTTCCAAAATTAGTTTAGGACTTACTAATCAATCAGTGTAAAGATTTATAAACCTGAATAGAAATATAATAACCTAATGAACCATCAACCAACGACTTTATCAGTTGATAACATAAGTTTAGTGAACCAACTTTCCAAAAGTTTACTATTCTTAATTTTAAATAATTTGGGTAAACTATTTTACGTTCATAATTATCCTGTTTTCTACGACTACAAAAATATTTGCCTTATTTTAAGATTTTTTTTCTACTTTAGTCATTGTTTATTATCACTGGATTCATTTCTTCATAACTATCTTCTTTTCTATGACTACAAAATTATTTTCCTTATTTAAAGATGTGTTATACTTTAATCATTGTTTATTATCACTGAATTCATTTCTTTATAATTAAACATAATAATTTATTTTCGACAAAGGATTTAATTATATTGAAATTATAATTTAATGCAATAATCAACCAACTTTTTCATCTCTTATTATAAAAATACAAACATGTCCTGTCCTCGTGTATCATTGCCAAAATAATTATTGTTTTCATAAAGAAATAATAAAGTTTTTTCCGCGCACTTTCTTGGCTCTTAGCATGGAATGAGTTTGTCCTCCTCGTTCTCGTTTTCACGAAATAGAGAAACTCAAAAACTCTTACCATCTCATCAATCTCTCAAGCTTCTCTCTCCAATGGAGGTTAAACTACTTGGCCCCGTCTTCGGTCTCTACCCCGTCTCGTCAGAAAGAGTCGTCAGCAACGCTCTAATCCCCAGTTCGAAGTCAAACCCACGACGACAAATCACGGCCACTAACTCCGTAGCGTCGAAGACTCATGGAGACGGAGCCACGGTAGCAAAAGTTGTGGGGAATCCGTATTTAGGAGCGGAGGTGGCGAGTCCCGATCTGCAGAAGAGCTTGTCTGACTTCTTGGAGGAAGCGAGAGATTTCGTGGGAGATAATGGTCCACCTCGTTGGTTCTCTCCTTTGGAGTGTGCAGCTCAGGCTAAAGGCTCTCCTCTACTCCTCTTCATACCTGGTACTTACTCTTCTAAATCTTCTTTTTTTTTTTGGACAACCAGACCATAACACAGAACTAGTCTCCCGTACTGTCTGTAAGAAAATTGGTTTACTTTTGTCATTTTAAAATATCTACATTATCTACGGAAATCTCCAATGATAGATTATTGTTGGATTTGGTTTCTGGAGTTGACCCACGTGGTGGATCCTCACCAGACCAGACCAGCCATATCGTTATAATCAGTGCTGTCCTAAACATTTACTAGGCTTAAAGTTTATTAAATTATAGTGGTCCTTATAGTTGTAATAAAATTTCTCAATGAAACAAAAGTATATATATATAAAATAGATCGTGTTATTTAATATTTGAAATTGACTAACATCTCTTGCTCAACATATAAAAATTTTAAAAAGTGGCCAATACTTTATTTACATAAGTTATGGTTTTAAGCCAATTATTGACGGTACTGGTCATAGTCAATAATGAAGGTGCATTCACATGTTGCCATTATAACGATATGGCTGGTCTGGTGAGGATACTCAGTTTTGTTTTGTTCTATGAAAGATGTGACAATTGTAAAATATTACTGATAACCAAGGTGCATTCATCTTACATTATAATGAATTGGAGTAATAGAAACTGGTTACAATTCACACAAAACTTTAAGCCTGGTAAATGTAACCAGTCTCTATTGCTCCATTTTATAATGTAAGATGTTTATATTTAAAATCATATATATAAAAAGTTACTTTTATCTAAAAGCTTCACTAAAAATATAAATTAAAATTAATTCAACCAATCATAAAAATAACTGTAAAAGTATAATATTGAAGAATTTACTATAAAGTTAAAGTTAACATAAAAATGTTAGAATATCTTACATTTTGAAATACATTATGAAACCGAAGGAGCATGTTTTTACACAATCTCATTTCCATGAACATGAAATGCTAACAAGATTGAGAAACTAAAAACCTTTGTAGGTATTGATGGTACTGGACTTGGGCTCATTCGGCATCACAAGAAACTTGGGGAGTGCGTAACTTCAAATTCTTCATTTCTTTAGAAGCTTGCAACTTCAAGAATATGGTTTCTCTGTTTTTTGATATTTCTCATTTGTCATTTCTCATGTTGTTGTTGTGGTTGTCTTTTGAGTAGGGTTTTTGATGTATGGTGTCTCCACATTCCGGTCAGGGATCGTACTCCTGCCAAAGGTGCCTTCTCTTACTCCTTACTTTGTCTAACCGAGAAGATAGCTTATTGTGGAGTAAACCCTTTTAATTGTGTGTTTTCAGACTTGGTGAAACTTATTGAGAGGACAGTTAAGTCGGAGAACCATCGTTTCCCAAACAGACCTATATATTTAGTTGGAGAGTCTATTGGAGCGTCTCTTGCGTTAGATGTTGCAGCCAGGAATCCCAGCATCGATATATCTCTGATATTGGCTAATCCAGGTACAAAGTTCGGTTCCTATATTGTCAGAACAATTTACATTTTGGTCATCTTTGACATTCTTTTGTTGCAGCCACACATGTCAACAGCCTAATGTTACAACCTCTAGTGGGAATGCTGAATGTGTTACCATATGGTGTTCCCACACTACTGGAAGAAATATTTGGTTTTAAGCATGGTACACTTTTGTTCACTCCTCATTTTCTCCAAGTGAATAATCATAAGACACTAGTTGAGCTTCGAGTTAATTTTATTTCAAAATGTTATCTTGATTTTACTTAGATGGCTGTATAATGTGATACAACATCATTAAAACATATCTCTATTACACAGGCGATCCATTGACTGCAATGTTAGAAGCTTTGACAAATGAACTTGTAGTCCATCAAATGAGTGGAGTTGGTGGAGGGATACTAAGAGATCTCTTTGCAGTTTCAGCTAATCTTCCTGTGAGCCTTTCTTAAAAACTCTTTGATCTATGCGTTTTAAGTAAAAGATGCCTTAACAAATATATATTTTAAGACTTTAAGTAGGATCTTCCATAAGGACACACTTCTTTGGAAGCTGGAACTGCTTAAGTCAGCTGTTGCTTTTGCTAATTCTCACATATACGCGGTCAGAGCTGAAACACTGATACTTCTGAGGTCTATTAAAGTTTCTCTGTTTCAAATATTCCCCAAAAAAGATTCTGAATCTTTAAAATTTGCAAAAGAGATGTCTTAGCTCAGAATTTATGTAATGTGTATATCTTGCTATGACTATTGCAGTGGACGTGATCAATGGCTACTGAATGAAGAAGACATTGACAGATACTCGCGCACATTGCCAAAATGTATTGTCCGTAAGCTTAAAGACAATGGGCACTTTCTCTTTTTTGTAAGTGATCTATCTTCATTCAATACATAAGAAGGATGATCCTTTCAGACAAGTCTTGATACTAACTACACTCTCATGTTAGGAGGATGGTGTAGACTTGGTTACTATCATCAAGTGTACTTGTTTTTATCGCCGTGGGAAGTCTCATGATCACATTTCAGATTACATTCTGCCAACCAGATATGAGTTAAAGCAACAACTAGACGACCACAAGTAAAAATTTCTCAACAAAAAGAAATCATTATTTCAAGTACAATGTCATAGCCAATACTGAATGATAATTTTTGCTGTTGTGCAGACTCTTAATAGATGCTACTTCCCCTGTATATCTATCAACACTAGAAGACGGTAAAATTGCGAGGGGCCTTGAAGGTATACCTTCAGAAGGACCTGTTCTGTACGTTGGGTATCACATGTTATTAGGACTTGAGCTAGGTCCAATGGTAACTCAATTCTTGAAAGAGAGAAACATTCACTTGCGCGGTTTGGCACATCCAATTCTTTTTATAAACGACAAAGATGCGTTGGGGGACACACAGATGTTTGATAAGTATAAGATAATGGGTGGAGTTCCTGTCTCTAACTTCAATATCTTCAAACTACTGCGCTCAAAGTCTCATGTGCTTTTATACCCCGGAGGTGTCCGTGAAGCTTTGCATAACAAGGTGATGTTACTGCTAGAGTAAATATAATAGTTTGTGACCTTTTTTCACGATTGTAGAGAGGGACTTTGCAGGGTGAAGAGTACAGGTTGTTTTGGCCTAAGCAACCAGAGTTTGTGAGAGTTGCATCTAGATTTGGAGCCAAAATCATCCCATTTGGTGTTGTTGGAGAAGACGACATCTGCGATGTAAGATCTATCTACTCAGTTATTCCTACTTCATTCATGTTATATGATCCACCAATGGTTCTATTCAGAAACTTACATTACTTAGCTTCTAAGATATATTCGTTTAAACTGTTGGCAAGAATGCTCTGCTAAACTCTACTTTAACTTGGTTGGTACATTGGATGATGTTCTCAGCTTGTCCTTGATGCCAATGATCAAAGAAACATCCCTATCTTAAAGGATTTCATGGAAGAGGCAACAAAGAAAGCTGGAAACTTAAGGTGCTTCATTTTATATACATATATACTCTTTTCTTTCCAGTAGATTGTAGTTTTGAGAGTTTTCACATTTTTAACAATAAAGTTAAAATACCAAAAATAAGCATAATTTTATAAAACAAAATTTACAAAACAAAAATTTATCATATCTTTATATTTGTCTTAATTAATATGAGACAAAATTACTATCTTTGTTGTCAAACAAATAAAAATCTTAAAACTACCATCTTTGTGGAATGGAGGAAGTATATGTTTTCTCATTTTAAATATTTAAAGTAGAACTCATATGAAAGCTGATTTTGAGCGTCAAAAATGTTAGGGAAGGAGATGAGAGTGAATTGGGAAACCAGGAATGCTATGTTCCAGGACTTGTACCGAAGATTCCTGGGCGGTTCTACTACTACTTTGGAAAACCAATAGAAACAGCAGGTATATATGCTTACTCTAAACGTTGAACTACACTTCAAGTCACTCATCTGAATACTAGAAATGGCTTTGTTTTTATTGTCGTCGCAGGCAGGGAACAAGAGTTAAAGGACAAAGACAATGCTCAAGAGTTTTACTTGCAAGTCAAGTCTGAGGTTGAACAATGCATTGCCTATTTGAAAATGAAAAGAGAGACTGATCCCTACAGACACTTGTTGCCAAGGATGATGTATCAGGCTTCACATGGTTTCTCTTCTGAAATTCCTACGTTTGAACTCTGAAATGACTCTCGCTTATGATTATTTACATAATAATTACATTATACTATATAACTATGGTTTATGTTGTACGTAGACATTACTATAGGTTCCAGCAAAAACAACCAGCAAAATCCTTTGTTAAATATTTTCTAGATTAATTGTTTAGTTGATATTAATAATTAATCTATACTATGGGTTATGTTGTACGTCGACATTATAGTACAGGTTCCAGTAATAACAACAAGAAAGTCAGTACAATACCCAAAATAAAGAGAAAGGAGATTCCAGTTGAATCCGACCCTTCACGGGGATCCTTGCACGTTACTTGTCTGCACATTTAGGAAAAAGAATCCAAGAAGTCACTGTTACTGGTTTTCTATCAAAAAGTATATATTGTTTCTTTTTTGAAACTCAAAAGTATATGTTGGCATGTTTGTTTGTTGCCGTAAGTCACCCAGGATTGGGTTCTAGTTGTCGTCTTCATGTGGACTCTTGTGTTTGGGGATTGCTCTTTCATCCACCAGTTTATGTAAAATAAAAAAAAAACTCAAAAGTATATATTCCCTCCGGTTTTATATTAACCGTCATTGTAGAGATTTTTTTGCACTACAAAATAAGTATTGTTTTTAGTTTTCAATGTAAAATTTATTAATTTTATTATGTAATTTATTTTTCTATTGGTTAAAATATGATTAGGTGTATAGTTAAATATGTTTTTATATATGAAATATGTAAAATTAATTGTTTCTTTAATCCGTATACACAGATGTAAAGTGACATTTATTATGAAACAGAGGAAGTATTGTTTTTGTTTTTTTGTTCTAAAATCTAAACCCATTTTAGGAGGCGCAAAAAGTTAGATGCAGAAAGATGGAAACGTCACTTTCCAAAGTTAGTTTTTAACTAACTAATCAACCAGTTTACTGTTTTTTTTTTTTAAATATCTGAGAGCGTTATGATAACTTGATTAACCATCAATCAACGACTTTTATCAGTTGCTAAACATTATTTTTAACGCTAGTTATTATATTATTACAATGAAAAACTTTACTACAATTAACAATTCTACATATCTTATATCTTATGAATATTCATTTCTGACTAAATTAGCATAAACTATCGTATGAGATCCATTTCTCACATTTTTTTTTTGCTGTGTTGAAAATCTCTTATAAATATTTTCTTATGTTTCTCTCAGGATTCGAAACTCTGACCTTCTAAAGTAAAAACATTAATAAACTTTTAGTGAAACAGTTGACAAACATCAGTTAGTGAACTAACTTTCACAAAAGTTTTGCTAAAATATTCCAAGTTCATAGTTATCATGTTCTTTCTGACTATACAAACTTATTTTCGGTTGACAAAAAAATACAATTTTTTCCTTATTTTAAATTTTATACTTTATCACTGGATTCATTTCTTTATAAAGATAATAGTATTCAACCAACTTTTACCGCATTAATTAACAAAATACAAAATGTCCATTTCCCGTGTATCCAAAACAATGATTGTTTTCGAAAAAGAAATAATAAAGTTTATTTTCCGCGCAATCTCTTCGCTCTTAGCATGGATGATGCATTTGTCCTTCCCACTCACGCATTCTTCTATAAATAGAGAAACGCTAAAATCACATCGATCTCTCGACCTTTCTCTCCAACCAATGGAGGTTAAACTACTTAGCTCCGTCTTCGGTCTCTCTCCTTTCTCGTCCGAAAGAATGGTCTCCATTTCGAAGTCAAACCCGCGAAGACAAACGCATCGAGTCACGGCCATTAACTCCGTAGCATCGAAGACTCATCATGTAGGTGTTGGACGGATACTAAAGTATGAAAAAGTAGAAGCAACGGTCGCGAAGGTGGTGGACTATTCGGGAGCGGAGACGGCGGGTCCTGATCTGCATAAGAGCTTGTCGGACTTCTTGGAGGAAGCAAGAGGTTTCGTGGGAGATGAATATGATGATGGTCCACCTCGTTGGTTCTCACCGTTGGAGTGTGCAGCTCAGGCTCAAGGCTCTCCTCTACTTCTTTTCATACCTGGTTCGTCTTCTAAAATATTCGTCCGACTTCTCCATTGTTTTTGGTAACCCGACCAGAACACACACTAATCCTCCGTACTATCTTTAAAAAATCCGGACACTTTATTAAGCGGACAGTAGCTCATCAATGTGTAACGTCTAAATAAACTAGTTGATCACTTAAATTATTAGTTAGTCGATTTAAAAACATACAAATTCTAAGATTCCTTCCGTTTTTTTTATATTTGAAGATTAGGATTATGTACATAGGTTAAGAAACATTTTTTTTTTCATTTTCTAAACAAAAACATTATTAATTGCTTACCTAATTAACTACAATTCAACCAGTTATAAAATAGAAACTATGATATCATTGATCATCTAACATTATTTATTAATAAGTTTTACATAGAAAATTAAAAACGTTAAATAATTTAGAACAAAAAAATTCTTCTAAAACGTCAAATATAAAAAAACGGAGAGAATAATATATTAAATAGATGTAATATATCATTATCAATTTTTGTAGTTTATGATTAAATTGTTATAATAATATAAATATTTTAGATGTTCTAATAAAATAAGTACTATTGTTTTATAAGCTCTAGTGTTTAAACGGCCGCCAATAACGTTTTTCAAACGATCATTTAAAATTAATCAACATCATCTAAAGAGATCTCCAACGATAGACTTTGGCTGGATTTGGTTTCTGACTTTGTGTGGTTGACCCACTTGGTGGATCTACACCGACCAGCCATATCGTTATAATGGAAACATGAATGCAGCTTGATCATTGGTTATGGCCATGATCATCAATCATTAAACATAAATTATTTAAACAAATAAAATATAGGCCACAATTTTAAAATATTAGATTAAACAAAAGAAGTTATGTACTTAGTTACCTTGGCAAGTTTTAGTACAACTATAAGGACCACATTAAACTTTAAGCCTAGTAAATGTTTGGGACGGCACTGATTATGACTGATGATACCGAATATTCTGTTTTGGATAAATTATAATCAGTTTCTTTGAAATATTTTAGACATTATTATATTTCCATGAACATTGAAAGGCTAACAAGATTGAAACTAAAAAACCCTCTAGGTGTTGATGGTACTGGACTTGGGCTCATTCGGCACCACAAGAAACTTGGGGAGTACGTAACTTCAACTTCTTCATTTCTCTAGAAGCTTGCAACTTCAAGAACATGGTTTCTTTGGGTCTTGATATTTGTAGAATTAGATATCAAACTGACTTGTGTATTAAGTTTATGCAGACAACGTATATATACAAAGATCAATGACGGTTTAACAATAACCGTTTAGGAAATTATACTTATCTCTAACGTAGAGAATATAGGAAACTAAACATTTATCTCCTAATCAGAATATACGATATAGTTATATTGACATATTTGTCTATATCGTAATACTCCCCCTCACGTTGGAGCGCGAAGGTCACAAACGCCCAACTTGGATAATAACGTATTGAACTGAACACGTCCAAGTGCCTTGGTTAAAATGTCCGCAACCTGCTCTTTGGTGCGAATGTGATGAAGAATAATGAGACCGTCTCGAACAGCATCACGAACCGCATGACAATCATTTTCAATGTGCTTGGTGCGCTCATGGAACACTGCATTTCGAGCGATATGAATTGCAACCTTATTGTCGCAGAAGAAACGAGTAGGAACCAGCTTGATATCGAATCCATGCAACATTTTGCGCAACCACTTGACCTCTTTAAGGGAATCAGACATAGCACGATATTCAGCCTCAGCGGAGGAATGTGACACCGTGTCTTGTTTCTTTGTCTTCCAGCTGATAGGAGAATCTCCAAGGAACGTAACGTATGCTGTAAGAGACCGACGGGTTTCAGAGCAGGCAGACCAATCCGAGTCACAGTACACGGTTAAAGACATGTCTTTCGACGAGCTCAACATAATTCCCTGACCGGGAGCACTCTTTAAAAATCGCACAATACGGAGGGCTGCCTCCAAATGAGCTTCTTTGGGAGACTGCATAAACTGAGAAAGAACATGCACTACATAGCTTACTTCGGGTCGGGTATGAAGAAGATACAAAAGGTGACCAACAAGTCTTCGATACTTGCGCGGGTCAGGCAGAAGAGGACTTTCAACTTTGCCAAGGTGATGATTCTGTTCAAGAGGAGTCGCAGCCGGCCTGCTACCAAGATTTCCCGTGTCTGCAATAATATCCAAAGTGTACTTGCGCTGAGAGAGAAAGAATCCTTCTGGACCACGACTGACTTCAATGCCGAGAAAATACTTTAATTTCCCCATGTCCTTCATAGAGAAACACTTGCTCAAGTAGTCTTTGAATTTTTGCACCATACGACTATCATTGCCACTGATAAGCAAGTCGTCCACGTAAATTAATACGCAAAGTTGAATGCCTTTACGATTGTAACAAAACAACGAAGAATCATCATAAGACTGAACAAAACCAAACTTCAGGAGCGCATCTGAGAGCTTTTTAAACCAACATCTTGGAGCTTGCTTAAGACCATACAAAGATTTCCGAAGGCGACAGACTTTATTGGGATGAGAGTGTCGAAAACCAGGCGGGAGTTTCATGTACACTTCTTCTTCGAGATCACCATGAAGAAAAGCGTTGTTAACATCCATTTGAAATACTTCCCACTGGTTTGCTGCAACCAAACGGAGAAACATACGGACAGAGGTCATGTTAATAACAGGAGCGAAAGTCTCGTTATAGTCTTCCCCTTCGACTTGCTTGTTTCCGCACACAACGAGACGAGACTTGTGGCGCCTTATCGTACCATCTGGATTGTATTTGATCTTATAAACCCACTGACTTCCAAGTGCAACTTTGCCTGGTGGGAGCTCACATACGTCCCACGTGTGTTGACCTTCGAGAGCGACCACTTCGAGGACCATAGAATCATCCCACACGTCGATCCCAACAGCTTCGCCAAAGTATTTAGGTTCGACACCAGCTGTAATAGCAGCTAGAAAAGCTTGTTGTGGGTGAGTAAAGTTAGAGTCAGAGACATACTTAGTCAATGGGTATAGTGAGTTACCTTGGATCGAAGCCGAGAACTCAGATTTGGACGTAGCGAGAGCGAGATGGGGACTTAACACGGAGCTTGGAACTGCAGTATTGTAGGTGACATAATCCTTGAGTTTTACCGATGGAACATGTTGTCGTTTGCCCCGACCAAGTTCTGTTTCTTCAGAAGACGGACTATCTGTCAAATCAGCTGCCGTAGTAGTTACTTCTTCCTCATCCTCAACACTCTGTTCTGTTACAGTTTCTTCTTGCATAGCGTCAACTTCACCCGTGCCAGCATCAGGTTTGAGTGGTTTTTCGTTATCAACCTGAACTACAGGTTGCAAACTCCCCCTGTTCAGAGACTCCACCGGACCCTCGATCACAGTAAAATCCCAGTCCTCATCAATATTTTCAACCGGTATTGCTGATGGAGCTGGGAAGGCTTTAGCTGCATATGGGAATACATCTTCTCGAAAGACAACATCGCGAGAGATCAAGAACTCATTGCTCTCAGTATCAAAAACTTTGTAACCCTTTTTGCCGAAGGGATATCCAACAAAAACACAGAGGCGACTTCTCTCTCCAAATTTATCTTTGCTTCGTGACTGCCGATGAGCATAACAAGCAGACCCAAAAACTCGTAGCTGTGTATAATCAGGTGCACAGCCGTGAAGAATTTCATACGGAGTGCGACCTTTATGAATTGAACTTGGCGTCCGGTTTATCAGATAAGCAGCCGTGAGAATTGCTTCTCCCCATAAAGTAATCGGCAAACTCGACTGAAAGAGCAAAGCTCTAGACACGTTAAGAATGTGTCTGTGTTTTCTCTCAACGCGACCATTTTGTTGAGGCGTCGCTACACAAGAGGTCTGATGCACGATCCCAACCTCGCGAAAATATGAGGAGAGACACATAAACTCTGTGCCATTATCACTCCTAATCACTTTGACAACTTTACCAAATTGTTTCTCGGCGTATGCGATGAAGTTTTTGAGAATGGTCCGAACTTCAGACTTCTCGAGCATCAGATACGTCCAGACGGCTCGAGAAAAATCATCTACAACCGTGAGGAAGTATACAGCACCACAAGATGAAGGAATGCGATACGGTCCCCATACATCAACATGGATTAAAGCAAAACAATCATCTGATTTATTAGAACTGTCTGGAAAAACTTCACGAGTTTGTTTAGCTCGAAAACATACGTCACAAGAACGAGAGCTTTTATTGGTAGATGAAAACATAGGTAAAGTAGAAAGCACAGAAAAACTAGGATGTCCTAAACGTTGATGCCACAATGACTGATCAGAAGACGCGTCGACAGTGTGTATCTTCGCTGTAGCCACATCCGTTAAGTAGTAAACCCCATCACGCTCTTCACCGGTTCCAATCAGAGTCCTCGAGAAACGGTCCTGTAAAACACAAATAGTATCAGTGAAAGTGGCAAAACAACTTGTTTGCTTCAAGATTTTCGACACCGAAATCAAAGTGCAGTTCAGCGACGGCACATATAAGACATTAAGCAACGACACTTTCTCCGATAAAGGAAGTTCGCCCATGCTTACTGCAAAGGTACGGCTACCATCTGCGAAACCTATTGAACATGCCGGTATAGAGACAAGATTTTGTAGAAGCGAGAGCTTCCCAGTCATGTGATGTGAAGCTCCAGTGTCTAAGATAACATTACCAAATTTTCCCTTACCAAACAATTTGTCGGAACTTGACTTCTCTTGGATCATTTGAGTGAGAACCTTCCACTGATCTTGAGTGAACTCGGGAAAGGAGGACGAGTGGGAGCTAGTTGCATGAGCCGCTGTTATCTGACCTTTTCCTCTTCCGGAGCTTGAGCCACGACCATGTCCTCTTCCTCTCGTAGAACCAGCACGATCGTTACGTTCATTCCCCCACTTGGGAAAGCCAATCAGTTGCCAGCACTCCTTTTTCTCATGTCCTCGGCGCCCACAATGAGAGCACGACGTTACCCGACTGTTCCGAAGAATCGAAGAATCCGAGTTGGAATCACCACGAGAAACATTCTCAACTTGACGAGTAGCAAAACCTATTGCTTCTTGTTGCTGCTCGCGACCACGAGCCGAACTCATCCTCTGCTCTTCTTGTACGACTTTTGAATAAATTTCTCCAATGGACGGTAATGGATCCGTGCCTATCAAGGAAGTGCAGAGACTCCCAAACCTAGCATCGTCAAGACCCATAATAAACTGATGAACCTTATCATCGTCTTTTTCTTTTCTGATCTCCTTTGCCGCACCACAGGTACACAACGGCAACGGTTGATAGACGTCAATTTCTTCCCACAATGTGCACAGCCTTCCATAATACTCAAGAACACTCTGTCCTTCCTGTCGACACGCAGCCAACTGTGCCTTGATCTGATGAACGCGGACTTTGTTTCCCACAGAGAAGCGTTGCTTCAGCTCGGTCCACAACTGACGCGCCTCATTGACGAAGGTAACAGAAGATTTGATCTTTGGGTCAATAGCAGTTCGAATCCACCCGATGATCATGGAGTTAACTGCGACCAATTGTCATAGTTGGGATCATCTTGCACCGGTTTCTTCAAGCTTCCATTGATAAAGCCAACTTTCCGCTTAGCCTGTAGAGCATTGAGCATCTCGTTGGCCCACTGATTGTAATTCTCACCGGTCAGAACAACTGAATCCGGGGTTGTCTGAACCAAACAGTGCATACGGAGAGACTGGCACCAAGGCATCACCGGCGACCTTTCCTGTGTCGTCTCTTCCTTCTTTGGTAATAGAACTCTCATCGGACATCGTCACTGACGAAACAAGACTTGTTCAAACTATGAACAGGAACACACACAATTTTGAGTTAAGAAATTTAGAGGAATCTTAGCTCTGATACCATGTAGAATTAGATATCAAACTGACTTGTGTATTAAGTTTATGCAGACAACGTATATATACAAAGATCAATGACGGTTTAACAATAACCGTTTAGGAAATTATACTTATCACTAACCTAGAGAATATAGGAAACTAAACATTTATCTCCTAATCAGAATATACGATATAGTTATATTGACATATTTGTCTATATTGTAATAATATTCCTCATTGTTGTTGTTTTTTGAATAGAGTTTTTGATGTATGGTGCCTTCACATTCCAGTTAGGGATCGTACTCCTGCTAAAGGTGCCTTTCAACTACTTAACCAAGAATATAGCTTATGCAGGATTAAAGCATTTTGTTTTGTGTGTTTACAGACTTGGTGAAACTTATTGAGAGGACAGTTAGGTCAGAGAACTATCGTTTCCCAAATAGACCTATATATTTAGTTGGAGAATCTGTTGGAGCGTGTCTTGCGTTAGATGTTGCAGCTAAGAATCCTGACATCGATCTTCTTCTGATATTGGCTAATCCAGGTACAAAGTTGGGTCTCATATTTTCTGGTACAATGTCCTGAATCATGACAATGTTTTGTTGCAGCTACACATGTCAACTACTTCATTTCTCAACCTCTAGTAGGAATGCTGAATGTTTTACCAGATAGTATGCCCACACTACTGGAAGAAATATTTGGTTTTAAGCATGGTACACTTTTGTTCTCTCCTCATTTTCTATTTGACTTCATGTTGTTAATTTATTTTATTTTTTGACAACGAAACTTCATTTTGTTGATTAAGTGTCTCCAAGAGAATCATACTAATTGAGCTCAAATTATTTTACTTACTAATTGAGCTTCTTTGTTTTTTGAACACAACTTAATTTCATTCAAACTCAACTCTTTCGGTTACAATAAAAAGAGGGATCCCTCCTCTCTGATTCAAAAGATAAAACTACAATAACACAAGTAGATAGACAAGATAGTACTTCATGAGAAGATGACAGCGAATTCAAGACGAAGCTCAAATGCGTCGATAAATCTTTTACCACAAAGTCGAATAGCTGAGAGATAGTCACATAGAGATAGTCAAATTTGATATTTAAAACGTCTTCCTGATTTTAATGGATGTAGAATGTGATATTTATTACACAGGCGATCCATTGACTGCGATGTTAGACGCTTTGACGAATGGATTTGCTGCCCATCAAATGAGTGGAGCTGGTGGAGGGATACTAAAAGATCTCTTTGCAATTTCTGCTCATCTTCCTGTAAGAACACCATCTTAGAAACTCATGATCGATTCACATTTCAGTAAAATATCTCTTAGAAAACATATATTTTCAGACATTAAGTAGGATCTTCCCTAAGGACACACTTCTTTGGAAGCTGGAACTGCTTAAATCTGCTGTTGCATCTGCGAATACTCACATATCCGCGGTCAGAGCTGAAACACTGATTCTTCTCAGGTCTAATAATTTTCTCTGTTTCTTTTTATACCCTAGCTTAGAGTTGAGGTGAAATATGAATATCTTGCTATGACTATTGCAGTGGACGTGATCAATGGCTTCTGAACGAGAATGACATTAACAGATACTCACGCACATTGCCAAAATGTATTGTCCGTAAGCTTACAGACAATGGGCACTTTCTCTTTTTTGTAAGTGATTTCTCTTCATCCACTAAAGAGATGATACTTTTTGAGTCAAGTCTTGATACTTACTAACACTTCCAACTATATCTCATGTTAGGAGGACGGTGTAGATCTGATTACTATCATCAAATGTACTTGTTTCTATCGCCGTGGGAAGTCTCATGATCGCCTTTCAGATTACATTATGCCAACCAGATACGAGTTAAAGCAACGATTAGACGAGCACAAGTAAAAACAAACCAGTCTATCAAGTACAATGCTGTTAAAGACAATACATAAATATCATTTCTTTTTTAATGTTTTTGCAGACTTCTAATAGATGCTACTTCCCCTGTATATCTGTCAACAAAACAAGACGGTGAAATTGTGAGGGGCCTTGAAGGTATACCTTCAGAAGGACCTGTTCTGTACGTTGGGTATCACATGTTATTAGGACTTGAGCTAGGTCCAATGGTAACTCAATTCTTGAAAGAGAGAAACATTCTCCTGCGCGGTATGGCACATCCAATGCTGTTTATAAACAGCGATGTTACATTTGTGGACACACAGATGCTTGACAAATACAGAATATTGGGTGCGGTTCCTGTCTCAAACTTGAATATCTACAAACTACTGCGCTCAAAGTCACATGTGCTTTTGTATCCTGGTGGTATCCGTGAAGCTTTGCATAGAAAGGTGCTTTTTATTTCTCTCATAAAAAAAAAGAAAGTTTGTTCTGGTTCTAAACATGTAGAGAGAAAGAGACTTTGCAGGGTGAAGAATACAAGTTGTTCTGGCCAGAGCAACCAGAGTTTGTGAGAGTTGCATCTAGATTTGGAGCTAAGATTGTCCCTTTTGGTGTTGTTGGAGAAGATGACATCTGCAAGGTAAGATTTCTTCTGAAACGTTTTAGATATGTTTCGTTTAAAACGTGTTAGCAAGAAGCATTGTCTAACTGCTCAGCTAATGATATTTTCAGCTTGTCCTTGATGGCGATGATCAAAGGAACATCCCTATCCTAAAGCAAATTATGGAAGAAGCAACAAAGCAAGCTGGAAACGTAAGGTACTACATCATCATCATAAACCATTCAAGCAAAAACTAATATGAAAGATGAGTTTATACGTCAAAAATGTTAGGGAAGGAGATGAGAGTGAACTGGGAAACCAGGAATGCTATGTCCCAGGACTTCTACCTAAGATTCCTGGGCGGTTCTACTTTTATTTTGGGAAACCAATAGAAACTGCAGGTAGAATATATAAGCTTAATCTAAACGTTGTCTCCTAAAGCTGACTTTGTTTTTAACTATCGTGGCAGGCAAGGAACAGGAGTTAAAAGACAAAGAGAAGGCTCAAGAGTTTTACTTGCAAGTGAAGTCTGAGGTTGAACAATGCATTGAGTATTTGAAAATGAAAAGAGAGAGTGATCCCTACAGACACTTGTTGCAAAGGATGATGTATCAGGCTTCACATGGTTTCTCTTCTGAAATTCCTACGTTTGAACTCTGAAATGACTCTCGCTTATGATTATTTACATGATTACATTATACTATATAACTATGGGTTATGGTTGTACGTAGACATTCTATAGGTTCCAGCAATAACAACCAGCAAAATCCGTTGTTAAATATTTTTTAAATTAATTGTTTCGTTGATATTAAGTAATTATACTATACATAAATATATGATTGACATGAAATTGTAATATTTAATAAAATCAAGGGCATAATCTTATAAAGAATTTTGTCTTTTTTGTTTTTTCAATATTATGGCATTACTCTCTTTATCTAAAGTAGGTATGAGTATCCCCTATATATTATTTGCCAAGAGATTTGCCAAATTCTCTTTACAATCATTTTACAAAAAAATGATGACATAACTACTAAAAATGATGACATGGCTTATAGTTAAATATGATATAAACAATTACATTTATTGTTCATATATATTTTTGGTAAACTTTCTAGAATATAGCAAAAATTGATACATTACATTTAATGTTGGTTTATATTTTTGGTAAACTTCTTAAAATATGGTAATAACTCATAAATCATATTATCAATAAAATTAAATATATTGAAATATGCATTATAAAATTTGAAATGTTATTTAATTTTAATTTTTTAATTTGTATTACTATTTTTTTTCAAAATTTTCTACATATTTTTAAAAAATAAATAAATTTTAATCGTAATATCATTAGTTTCTTTTAGATATCGACACATTTTATAAATATTGATTAGTTAACTATACAATTTTATATGAATTTTCTTAGTAATTTTATACAAGTTTATTTAATACATTTAACCAAAATAAATAGATAAAAAAAATTCTAAGATTCAAATTTTAAAGGGTGTTTAGCAAAACCAACCCACAAAGTGAAGTCAATTGCAAAACCAACTCTTTTTTTCATTACTATTCATCCATGAAATTTCCAAACCAACCTTATATTTTGAAATATTTAAAGAATTGCCATTATTAATTGTTTTTCTAATTATTTCAAAAATTACAAAAACTAATTACACCCTTATAATTTTTTCTTATTTACAACAATGCCATCGTCATCAATTTTCAACCACCATGAACCACCATTTTTAAGCTCTTTAAACTTCTCAAATTCAATTTTCAACCACTTTTTTTCTCATTCTAAACCAACAAATCTTCACTTCCTCGCATTTCCTCTCTATTTTCATCTAAAAAACTCTCATAACTTTCATTTTAACAAGCATAACTTCATTATTACGAGTGTACTCACTCTGTTGTTGGTCGTCTAAATTGCTTCTTTTTCTTCATATTTGGAGCTTGGACGGTGGAAAAGGGTGGAAACGAGCTTTACACCGGAAAAAGGTACCTATTTACATAGTTTTGTCATTTTTCAGATCTGTGTCGCGATAGTAGACAGTATTGATTAGGCAGAGCTGCGTCCGAGACGAGGTCAATACGGTGTTGGATATCGCGAAGTGGTGGAAGACCGGTGGGAAGTTCATCGGGGAAGACATCAGCGAACTCGGTAATAATGTTCTGAAGTTGAGGTTGTATATACAGTGTTGTGTGCGAAGCTGGTGAGAGCAAGAGGAGGAAGACCATTCCTGTGTCTCTCATTAATGTTTCAAACGGAGCACGTTGAAGGATCATGACTGGTGAAGTTGTTGACGCTGATGGTGTTGGACCCGACGGTGGTGGTGAAGGTTTTAACACAAAATTTCGGTTATTAAACCGGAAACTATATGTATTAAGAAGCCCGTCATGAGTGACATGCCTATCAGACTCCCAAGGACGTCCTAGCAGCAGATGACAAGCATCCATTCGCACTATATCACAATAAGTTTTATCGTGATAGGAGTCACCAATAGAGAAGGAAACCATCATTCGTTGAGTAACGGGGACATCATTATTTTGTTGCAACCATGCTAACTTGTACGGGGATGGATGCGGTTCTTCTGTTAAAGCCAACTTCTTGACTGCGGTGGCCGAGATAACATTCTTAGAACTTCCTGAGTCGATGATGAAATTGCAGACTTTCCCATTGATAGTACACTTCGAATGGAATAGATTATTACGCTGAGGATTTGTCGGAGTAGTATGTAGGGCAAGACAAGAGTGACGGAGCATTAATGATGTTCCAGAATCTGCGCTGAGTTCCTCGAAGTCACACTGATCATCCTCGTCATAAATTGGCTCGTCAATGTCATTATGCTCATCTAACAACAGACCATGACGCGGTCTAGTTGGACAAGCCGACTGATGGTGACCCGTTTCGCCACAAGTAAAGCAGCGAAAACCTCCTAGACGAGTTTGTTTCTGTTGGTCTACAGGTACAATTGCTGTTTCTGATTTAGTTGTTGTTGGAGTGTCGGATGGAGTAGATGATGTAGTTGTGGGACTGGGTCGTGTCTGGCGGTTGGATCCCCATGATTGGAAGCCTCCACGGGTTTGAGCTTCGATTGTTAAGGCCTGTTGGTGGGCTTCCGAGATGGACTGAGGGCGAAAGAGGTTGATGGTGAACTGAATTTGTTGTCTGAGACCTCCCACGAACCTCATCACGAGTTGTTGTTCGGAATCTTGAGTTTCCACTCGGTTGATCATCCTAAAAAATTTCGTTGCATATTCGTCTACGGTGCGAGTTCCCTGCCGTAAATTCTGGAATTTTTGAAATATTAGTTGATCATAGTTATACGGCAAGAAGTTCTTCCGCATCTCTTTTTTAGCGTATCCCACGTCGATATTTTGGATTTGCTGAGACGAGCTCTGGTTATTTTTTTTTGTGACCACCACGCGGATGCACGGTTGCGGAAACGGATTGCGAGAAGAGGGACACTGTAACCCCCCGGCCGTCCACAGCTAATGGGCTACCCACGCCCACTCACTCGGCTTGTGGGCCCCATCCTGTTCCAACGGCCGGTCTGTTAATTTTCCAAGGCTCTAGAGTCATGTTTACTGACCCTGCAATCACCACATGGCTTTTCCCCGTGCTTTGGCCTTACTTACACGGTATCGCAAATCACTTCCCGATAGGTCACCCATCCTTTGACTACTCCAGCTCAAGCACGCTTAACTCTGGAGTTCTCTCTGGATGTGCTCCCGAAAAGGTAAGTGCACTTTGGTGACATAGGTAGCGAAAACAATTCTCTTAAGCTTTTTCATATATCACAACTCGGGATGTTACAATTCACCCCCTCTCAAAGAACGCAACGTCCTCGTTGCGCCCCACGACAGGTCTCAAGACGCCTCTCAGGTCAGAACTGAGATGGCTAACCAGCTCTGATACCACTTGTAACCCCCGGCCGCCCACAGCTAATGGGCTACCCACGCCCACTCACTCGGCTCGTGGGCCTCATCCTATTCCAACGGTCGGTCCGTTAATTTTCCAAGGCTCTAGAGTCATGTTTACTGACCCTGCAATCACCACATGGCATTTCCCCGTGCTATGGCCTCACTTACACGGTATCGCAAATCACTTCCCGATAGGTCACCCATCCTTTGACTACTCCAGCTCAAGCACGTTTAACTCTGGAGTTCTCTTTGGATGTGCTCCCGAAAAGGTAAGTGCACGTTGGTGACATAGGTAGCGAAATCAATTCTCTTAAGCTTTTTCATATATCACAACTCGGGATGTTACAGACACATCGATCTAATGGGACTTGTTTGAACTCAAGAATCTCTTTGACGGTTACAAACCAATCAAGTAATTCTTCCGCGTTTGTTGTCCCTTTGAATTCTAGAATTTCAAGCTTAAAGCCTGTTTTCCACGTTGAACCGGTGGTGTCTTCTTCATCGAAGTCTGAATCACTGTTGTTATTATTGATGCGTCTTGCTACTTGGTTGCGAAGCGGGGCAAACGGGTTGTTGTCGACTTCTGAATCGTTGTGAATTGAGATCTGGTCGTTACGGCGTTGTTGAGAGGAATTGTTGCGGCGATGGCGAGGCGAGGTGTTGCGGTGATGGCGAGGGGAATTGGTGGCTTGTTGTTGGGTTGTTAGGGTTGCGACTGCGGTGACGAGATTGTGAACGAGTGCGTGTAGGTCGTTAACGGATTGTTGAGTGGCGGGGATATCTTCATCAGCTGGTTGTAACCGAGCTGATTTTGAACCATTGTAGTGGTTGAGAAAGTTTCGGAGCGTAGCAAAGCTCTGATACCAACCTGGCGCAGCGTACGAATGGGTGAACGCTCGATCTAAGAATTTAGGGTTCTTGGAGACCTGTTCTTGGATCGATTAAGAGTTACTTTCGTTAGCTTCTTGAGACTAACTTCTTATTTGGATGAATTGAATCGAAATAAGGTTTAAAGCAAAAGCTGTTATATTAAATCAAACGTATCTCTTTAGAGAGTTGTAGCTCCCTTTATATAGTAATTGCAAAAGATAAAAGCCATTAAAAACTAGGAAAACTGAAGCTAAGTAGAAAAGGAAAAACACAAATCTAATCCTATTTTGAAAAGAAAAAGATGATAATGTTGGCGCCAGTTTATGATGATGCTGCTGCATCAGTTAGGCCAATGGTTACTCAAATTGGTTCTTGATACAAAGTGTAGTTCATCATTCTCATTGATTCAATAAAGCCTTTGATTCAGAGTGATCTAGTTGTACAAGTATTCGAGAAGAATTCGATAGGTAAAACTCTATCACAAAGTATAAATGAGGCTCTTAAATCATTTTATTATATTAGGTAGATGATGGCTTCAGGTAACCACAGCAACATCTTACGGGAGTATTAGGAGAAGGAACTAAACAAGTTCCGGTTTCAAAACCTT